CAACTCTATGATTCTATGATTCTATGATTCTATGATTCTATGAATAGGATTTTGCATGTGTGTTGTGTGTGCCTTCAAGTCATTTCTGACCTATGGCAACTCTAAGGCGAACCTATCCTGGAATTTTCTTGACAGATTTCTTCAGAGGGGATTTTCAATTGCCATCTTTAGGCCTGTATTTTATTTACTTACTTACTTGTAACATTTAAATCCTGGTTTTGCCTTAATTGAGCTTACAGTGGGGGGTGTACTTGGGTCTCCTTCTCCATTTTTTATCATCACAGCAACACCTTTGGGTAGGTCAGACTGTGAGAGAATGACTGGCCCAAGGTCAAACAGGCTACATCTGTGCTGCTGAAATAATGCAGCTTGACACCACCTTATCTTCCATGGCTCAATGCTAGGGAATTCTGGTATTTGTAGTTTGGTGAGAGCCTTCTCTCACATAGAGCTCTGGTGTCACAACAAACTGCAAATCCCAGGATTCCATAGCACTGAGCCATGGCAGATAATGCAGTGCATTATTTCTGTAACACAGATGCAGCCACAGTGAATTCTATGGTTCTATTTCTGTAACTAAGTAGTCACAATTTTTCATCTTCTGTTCCCAGGACATAAGACACCAGGAAGAGGGAAGGATCGAAAACAATTTTCCCCAACCTGCTACCCTCCAGATATGGTTTGCTGGCTGGAGTTGATCAGCTCTGTAACCCAATATGCCAGAAGGCATTGGACTGTACTGCACAAAAGCTTGTGTGTGAAATGAGCATTAAACAATTAAGCACTTTTCATCTCAACTTTGGGCTACAGTCCTTTGGGTGGAAAGAAAGCAGGAGACTGAAGGAAATTGAAGCAGTCTAATAATATACAGTTTCCTCTTTACATGATGGAACCTGATTGATTGTGTTTCTAATCTGGTGTGTTTGACTTTTAACGTTATATTTTAAACAAGTTTTTAACAGTTTTAACATTGATTTTTTTAAACAGGGCTGATTATTTATTGATTTATTTTAAAAAAAAGTAAAACTGGTACAAGTTGTATTTTGTTTTCACCTACACTGTAAGCCACCTTGAGTCCTATATTTTTTCAGAAAGTTGGGAGATTAATTAATCATAATTAATTACAATGGCAAAAGGGTCAAGACTGTTCCCAGTGCAGCATGTTCTCATTCAGAATTTGTTCACAAAAACTCTCATTCCAAAGGGTGAAGAACTGCAATATTTGTGTAATGTTTGTGTGAATGTATCCATAGTAAGCACTTTAATGACTGGATCTTTCCTGACACATGCCAGGGAGCATATGACTCACTGAACTTTCATTACCTGAATGTTGGCAGATTGTGGCTTCAAGCATGAATATACTGAGCTTTAGAGGCAGTGGGGAATGGAGCAATCATTCCTGATTCAAGAATAGATAGTGAATTTCTATCTGTCCCATCACAACCCAATGGATTTTACTGAACCCTTCCAATGGAATATGACTCTAAATTTCATCTGGACAAGAATTAATGCAATGAACATGTGTAATCTCAGTTTCCAGGATCTGGGGACCTGTGCTTGCTCTGCAATGAATTCAGAGGATGACTTTGGGCCAATGATTTTGTAGCTGTTTTACCACAGCCCTCGTACAACAACTCTTACATGTTGTACAACTGCTTCATTGAAGGTGAATAGAAAAGTTTATGTGAAGTGTAGCACCATCTGTGTATTTTGTTTCTGCATGGATGTTTGTCCAGCCTGACATGACATAGGGTATGGACTGATCTTTTTTTATCATTCAAAATACAATGTTTTGAATTTGGGAAAACACACTACTCTTCATTTTCATTAACTTGTTGAGTTTTATTATTTCCAACAAAGGTAAAAACTTTTTAAAAATTGGGACTGCATTTGGCATGTTTCAGATGAACAGGCTCTAGAAGTTTTCCAAATGGAATCATAGTATCATAGAATTGGAAGAGACCACAAGGGCCATTAGTCCAACTCCCCCTGCCATGCACGAACTCTCAATCAAAGCATACCTGACAGATGGCCATCCAGTCTCTGTTTAAAGACTTCCAAAGAAGGAGACTCCACCACACACAGATGTCAAAATTCAATGTTCTCTGCCAAAGAAGGGGACAGGTAGCCTCACATGGGACAGAGACAACCTGGATCTCAAAGGAGATTTAATGTTGCTAATAGAGTTTAAATTTTATTTCCTGGACTTTACAATTCTGTCTCCCAAAGCCCATATGGCCAAAAAGGAGGAATGGCCTCTGCCTACATGGGTATCTTGTCAAAATGTAGGCCTGTGATTTCAACATGGTTAAAAAAAATCTTTCTCCTGTTTCACTTTTAACACCTTCATCTGATGAAGAAGCCAGTGGAGCCTGAAACATGTATTTTGTGCATTTTGTTTGGTCTAATAAATTTACACTATTTTGAGGAGCTGGGATGTTATTGTACTTTGCTGTGTAGCCAACTAAGGACCCTTAGGTATGTTTTCTTCACTTTTATTGTGAAGGATGCATTCACTTCACAGAGTATATTTATTTATTTTATTGTGATAGATGTATAGGACATAGCTATCATATTATCATTATCACCTACTGAATATGTTTACATTAAATGTAGATCTTTCCTCATTGCTTGTTTTTGTGTGGTGGCTCTTAGTTACCCTTCTGTACAAATCTAGTCCTAACAAATAAATCTAGCAATCTTATTAAAACAGAACACTAACAACAACAAAGAGCTTTTGCCTTTCTCCATCAGAGCTGTGACCTATTATTGTGTAAATGTTTAGTTTTATTCTTAAAATGTTGTTTTAAGCTGTGTGGCCCCTTGCAAACATAGAATGCAGCATGCTATCAATACAACTCTGGTCTCCACAGCAAAGATTAAGCTATGCCTTCCATTTATTTTATGCAGATGGGGATGTTAAGCTATTATCACCGATAAGGGGTAAAGCTAACATTCTGCTGGAGAACATTCAGAACTTCCATTCCCCATCCTACTGTAACCCTCCATGCTTTCCAGAAACTGACCTTACAGGTTTCATGGCCATCCAGAGACATTTTAAGGGCACATAGGGAGGTATGGTGGAAAGAGGGATTGTCTTTAAGTTCCATCATATTCAACCATCTGCCAGTGGCAATCTGTCATTGGATCTGGTCCAAAAAAAAACTGGCAGTAGTTTTTAATCATTACGAATACAGTCCTCAAAAGTCCCAAAACTGACTCATAAATTACTGTGAGAGACAAGAAATAACAGTAATGTAAATGACTAGCAGGAAAGCTGACCACTATTCTGTTAAACAGAAAATCTATTTCAATAAATAAGTATTTAATTCTATTAACCTATGTGGATTCAACTGTATTTGCATAAAGAGATAATGATAGCAGTCTGAAATGTTGCCTTGGGTAAATGTTGGCTGACTTGTTCCACATTGCTGTCATGTTAGAGAATAGAAAATTTACAACCTAACAGTTCTTGAAATGATCCTATTATATTCCATGTGGTTCAGCTTCACATCAATTAAGATAGTCAAACTACACTGGGAAACATGGGATTCTTCTAGCCATTATCACACATGGTGTGTAAGCATTTTGCCCATTTTCCATACTTATATTTTGAGAATAAAACCTGCTTTGGCTATAATATACATTTAATTTTAAAAGTACACTGTTCTGCCTTCTATTTCATATTCACATTTGCATGGCAACAAGAGATAAATATAAGAAGAGGTGCTTTTACTACCATGCTTGAAAACATCTGTGGATTAATTTCAGTTTTCAGCACAATTTAGTAGAAGGATGTTCTTGGAAACCTGAATATTTATTGAATGCAAATAACTCCATTTCTTAGAGATAGGTAAAGTAAAACTTCAAACAGACCAAGTGGCTGGTGTTAAATACACATAATTTGGAAGCGAATGCATTGAATTCACTGTAGTCACATTTCATGCAGTGGCCACTGTTTATTAAAAGTTAGTCAGCACCAGGATTGTTTTACACATTGCAAACCACTCTGGCACCAGAGCATGTATTTGATGGGAAACCACAACCAACTGAAATTTCGTTATGAA